GTGCCGCCCGCGCCTGCCCCTCCTTGGGCAGCAGCAGTTCTGTTGCTGCTACAGGCAGCCACTTTTTCAAGTGCAGGGGGCCGGGACAACAGGCACACTTCAGTCGGAACTAAGACGTTGTTCTCTGGGGACTTGGTGCAGGGAAAGCTGAGGTACGTTCTGCACTGCCAATGGCTCTTCACAAGGGAACCGTGCTCTGGTTTTAGCAGAAAAAGATGTCAGTCACAGGCAGCCACATATCACTGTGCACAGCTATTTGGCAGGTGTCTTGCTTGTTCACAGAGGCGTATTTCTTGCCTTGCAGTCTTGATGCCAAAACAATCAGGGGTTCAAGTTACAAAAGCCTTTTGACATCAAAGCAAGATGACAGCTAGATTTCTACCAGCACTGTATTTCAGCTGTGTTGCTAGCTGAGAATGGCTTGCAGGCCAGGAGATATTTAGAGGGGTCCGAAATAAAGAAACCGAGTGCTGAAGTGATTGTTTTAAGGAGGCAAATTAGGCAGCCAAAGGAACTGAGCTGCTCACCTGACACAGTGGCAGAACAGCCCATCCAGCCTACCATGTATTGCGTGTTGCAGGCAGCAAAGTGTGACTGCGACGCTTGCTGGCAGGAGCGGCAAGGAGTGCAGAGCTATGCTCCTGTACAGAGCAAAGGTGGAACCTCCAGGACTCTGCAGTCATCTGCTGAGGACATCTAATATACCAACATGCCTCTTTGCTTTCCCTGCTTCATGTCTAATTACTGTGCATGCTGGAGGGCAGGGTGGTAAGTAACATCCTGCAGTGTCTCTTATCTGAGTGACAAGCCCTGCACAGGTAGCCTTGTGTGTATGCAGGGTTAGGAGAGCAGAGCACTGACAGCACAGAGGTGAGGAAAGGTGCAAACAACACAGCAAAGCCCAAGGATCACCAGCGTATCGCTCATTTGCAGATCAGCCACTTGCATCTGGTCTGCTCGGATGTGCTGTTTCCTGCTAAACAGAGCTGCCCCTCTCACACAAAGCAGCTTTCAGTCTCTTCTCTCTTACCTTCAGGATGTCAGGCATCTGCGTTGCCTTAGCTTTTTTAAATCTCTCTCCAGCATCTGTTGACTCACTGCTGTCACTCCCACAACCCTGATGCCACATGCGGAGCCATACAGCAATCCTTGGGGCTTACTCCGGGGGATAAAAAACCCTGTTCCGCCAGCTCCCTGTGCTGCTTCTCCTCCCTAGGTAATGGGGTGGGGGGCACGGACAGAAACCACCGCCAGACTTTTAAAGTAGCCAAATGCAAAGGACTGACATGCCCGAGCCACTTGGATGCTTTTTGGTAGAGAGGCAACGAATATTACTGCCTGGGCCGCGAGTGGGAAAAGGGCAGATGAATTTAAGCCCTATACCCCCAAGTAAGTCCTTACCGTCTTCGGATGGTGTAAACGGGGCTGAGTGTCAGTCGTTTCCTCACCCCGCTAAATGCTCGGCCACCGAAAGCCAGTACTGCCACTCGGGAGCCGCGCCTGCGCGGTGGGGG